ATATAGGTAGCTTTAGGCCTACAGAGGATGAGTGTTTATATTTATATCACTTATATTTATAGGTTTTGGTTATGTTTGCCTTAAGATGGCTATAAGCTTAGGACTAGATATCAAATAAACTCCCAAGTAACTTATAGTGCAGCCTAGCCCTAATTTGTCAGTGTCAATGAAATAGTGCAATATCAAGGACAACCAAACTTGGATATACAACCATGTTTATACCTAAGGTTCCTTTTTGGTACTCACCAACAAGGATCAACCGTAATTGTTTTCAGTCAGAAAGTGTCCTGAGTTTCCAGAAAATTGTAACTTATTACATTTGAAAAATTAAGGGTAAATTAAACGTTTCGGTTCTGGTTTTGGAGCGAGTCCAAGTTCTTGCATTGACTAATACTTCAAAGGAAGGAAGGTGGGAAGATTTTCATACTGCTAATAGCCTTCTTTGAATTCAGCGTGAAAAATAATGGGTAATTTCTATAGTTTGGGCCATTTAGGGGAACCAAACAAATTTTTAGAAACTCTTCTATCTCATCATTTCAGTAAACTTAACTATGATATTATTATTTGAATAGAAGTTAAATATCAAGAAAAAAATACCGCAAATTATTATTTTTGGGATAGAATTACATTGACCAAGGAATACTCTCAAAAGTGTTGTGTAGTGATAAAGTTTCCCGAACAAAGCTCGGTCCCCAGCTACTTGTTGTCAAACAACGCAATAATGTACGTTATTTCATAAAATTTGTACCTGAGAAATTTACAAATGGAAAATGCATTTCTCGTAAGTGTAAGCAAATCTTAAAATGATAGGATTTGTAATGATACGATCTTAAAACGAGCAATTCAGTATTCTTATTCAAAACACCAAACACCCGCCACTGGATCAAAATATGCCCGCACGGCGCAACCCGGTGGGAAGCCCCTCTCGTACAATTTAAATTACGTACATAAGCCAAAAATAAAAAAATATGATTTAGAACATTTTACTTTTTGTATACAGAATCCACTGTTTTTAAACTTACCTGACCAAAAAATAAAAAAGTAGTAGTCTACAAAAAAAGATCCGTGGAAATTTGCCATGTCACGTTTCATAAAACATTTAAAATAATCTACTTTATTTGAATATTTAAAATGAAAAGTACCGGGGGACCGAGCCGTGGCTCAGTATGTTTATTTCGATTGTAAAAGATATATAAAGGAAACTCGTGTTTTCTTTATAACTAATTTCGGCTTTTATTGTTTAAGTTTCGGTGGAATTTTAATTTACTATGATGTAACTTTAAATGGACAATGCAACACATTAATTTATTTTAATCTTACACATTTCTGTTATTGTAAATAAATCATAGAAATTTAAAAAAATAAAAGTAGTATTTTTTTTAAAAAGTTCCTAATGAGGGAATTAATATGCGATCAGGTTAATACAGGTGCTACAGGTTAATACAGTAGCAATCAACTACACAGCATTAAAACAGCACAATGTATGTAAGGGGTGTGATTTATTTCTTGGTACTAAATTAAGTCATTCTTCAAGTATAAGTAAAACTTCAGCATGGGCATACTCTCTAACGTACTATCATATGATGGATTAGCTGAAGGCAGATAAGTCCGATTCAAGCTTATATTGCTTACTATAAAGATTGTTGTAATACAATTAACTTTAACTAGTGGTCGTCCAGTGGTCTAAAACTCGACCAAAAATATGTAATGTACAGGTTTCAAAAGATTTAGGCCTAAAACTTTTTTTTCCTGTGTGAGTAACTAAGGACTTCTGGATAATTTAAATATGATATTTATATGTTTCTTACTCAGGAACAATGCCATTCCGGGACACTATATAAATGGACGTTAACGTGATTATAAATTTGCATTTTACATAGTCAAAATACAATAGGTAGGCCTATTGCGCAACCGTGATATGTTAAGTCATTAACCTTGGTTCACTAAAAAAACTACACTGTATGCTTACTCAAACAAAACAAAACTTGCTTACTGTACAGCAATAAATCACGTAAAGAACAAAACAAAAGAAAATGTAGACTAGAAGACTACTGATACCGTAGTCATCCTAGGCTACTACTACATGATGTTTCAGAACAGAAGTATGGGGATGAAAATATTAAATAACTCATAAAACACCATAAAATCATAGTACTGTACTTATGTCTTTCTGGTAATAATAACAATGATAAAAATGAGATAAAGATAACAATGATGTAAAACACCTCTTATTATTTCTCTTTGTTCTATTCTTTCTTTGGTTTCTCTCCATCCACAAGTTGTCATGGTTACTAATCACCCAACGACCCAACCACAAAATATTGTAGTGTTGTGACAGCAGACAGGAGCAGACGATTGTCAGTATGTCAGTGTCAGTGCAAGATTGTCAGTCTGTAGTTGCGAGCGTATAGCTTGACCTTGACGCTACTGATCGATATTACTCCGTTTTGCTTCCATCTTATTTTTGTCAAATGAATGTAATATTTCAATAATTGGGAATCTACTGCACATAAAAATTACCAAAAATAGTTAAATATATCGTTCATATCGAAATATTAGACTGAAAAACACAGTTCATAAAACATTTTCTTGGGATTTGTGAGGTTATATAATATATAGGCGTCATGATGATGCGACTCCAGTTAAGCGAGGTTCTACTGTATTTGCAAGTTAAAGTTACAAATAGAAAACCCATTATGGTTTGTATTCAATGACCGATTTATTATACAAAATAAATTATAACTTATTTTGATATTAATCAGAAGCATTTATTACAGCTTGCAGCACTTATTGGTATATATAAATATCCCAGTTACTATAACAAAAAAAAAGTAAAACACGAAATTGTGTGGCCATTCAATTTTTATAAACACAGTGTTAAACATTTGACTCTGCAGAATACCGGATGGTAAAGAGTGTTTGGTTTCAAGAAAATAAAATAAAAAATAGTTTAACCAGCTTTACTATTTATTTTGAAAAATAATAGATAGGAAACCATAAGGATAGGTATGGGATTGAACTGAAATAATTGCAGGAAAACTTAAATCGTAAAGTCCACAATCTGTACATCGTTAGAGAGCGAGAGAGAGAGAGAGAGAGAGAGAGAGAGATTTGATAAGGAATCTGAAAAGTAAACAAATAATCGTTCCTGGCGTTTGTTATATTGTACCCCCCTCCCTCGCCCGCTGCCACACATCTAGTAGTGGAAACACACCAGTTCACTCGTGGAAGTGCGTTCATCTCATTATCATCTGCGCAAAGTTCGTCAAAAAGGGTGTAATATAATCCTTTTTCTGTTCTTGATGAAAGAATAGGATGTATAGGCCCTATGCATTCTCCTCTTCCTTCGTCTTCTCTTTTTCATGAGTAGCAGAAGAAGCAAATATTCATCTCGCATTCTGACAGCGTCTCTCCCCAACAGAAGTGTTCCACCAACACTGTTCCACTGTCATCAAGAGACTGGCCTAGTTGGTAATTTTGTGGCTGCTCTACTGGTTGCTACGCTAGGCAGCCAGACAGGCGACTGGCTGCCCGGCTGGTTGCGCAACTTGGCTGCCTCGTCTAATAAGAGCCTAATAGTTTGTTTGTAAAATTAAAATTATTATAAAAATCTTTTATCTTTCAAGTGTAGTTTCATGGTTATTCTTATCAGATAGAATAATATCGTTGTCATATGTAATAGTTACCCCTTCGCGTTACGCAATTGCGTAAAAAACAGTTCCCGTATCATGGACAAGATTCACGTATATTTCTCGAGATAAAGAAAAACCGTATAGTTCCCGGTCCGTGGAAACACTGTAAATATTGTACTAGGATATAAAATATTGTATAAAGGAGAAGTTGACTAAAATTTCAACTGAAGGTAAAAAAAATTAAAATAACTTAAAATATGAAATGATGAACGGGTAGGATCAAGATTCAACCAATTATAATTAATTAATATTTGACGATCCTTATTAGAGGTGCATCATATTTATTTGGAGTATGAACATGTTAAACATTAACACGTAGTTAATCACTATCCCAACACAAATAGTAACAAGGAGTAAACGAAGGTTACAGACCGCTGGGTGTTACCGCTGGGTAGGGTGCCGTACTTGGCTACACTACTCCACGATAGAACACACGATGAGACAGTCTCCGCATTGGTATTGCAGTTACGCTAATCGACACAGGCATCAGCACCGGTTTGCTGTTTTCATACGTATAAAGTGCACGGGAAGCCATACCTGACTGGCTTATGGGAGAGCTGACTGGCTTTCGGGCGGGTGACTGCCACACCGAGTAAATTACCAGCGCACTGACTGCCAAACCGGGTGGGCACAAAAGTATATATATAAATATATATATATATATATGTATGAATTTGAACGGATGGTGTTTTTGGCCTCTGGGGACCTCAAAACGAAAAAGTAAATCGGTCCCGGGTCTAGGTCTTACCATGAGGCCTACGGTAATAGCTTATTCCCTATATGGGAAATTCGCTAAAAATCAGACTAAAAAAAGGCTCGGACGATTATACTTAAAGTTTAGTATGTTATGATCCTTTTGACTCCAAACAAAATGTCACGACCCTAATTTCTGTACAACTATGGTTCAAAAGTAGTTGCAGCTAGCTTGTTGACAAGCTAATGGGAGTAAGTATGTGTCAGATTGCAGATACCGTTTATTCATTTATGGCTAATTAACTAAGCCTAATTACAATTATAACTAGCAGTATAAATATTAAGTTTAAATTATTACATTGTGGTTTGGACGTTTTTACTACTGGTAGGAAATGCAGAATAGTATGACCAGGGAGAAAAGACTAGGGGAGTGATAAAAGAAGGGATGATTCAAAAGTGCGAAAAGAGATATGGGTAGAGTGTATGGAAGTAAAAAAAATACTAAATGTATACAGGACACTTGTAAACAACTTTTGGGCAACTCCAGTAAAGTTAAAGCAACAGACATTCATTGACTTTCATACCCTTCTGAGTAGGTAAGTTAAAGAAACTCACTTCGTCTTGCATTTCCAACATGCCACTTTCCTCAAATTTTTCCATATCTATTGCTTCTTCGTCGTCATCATCTTCATCGTCGTTCTCCACTGCATTGGGCCTCTTGAGTGGTGAATCCTACACAACAATAACATAGATAAGTTTGCATTGATTTTGTCTCGTTACTCATATACTCTAAGGGTGGATGACGATTGTTGTGGCGACTACGTCGCCTTCTTCATATCCATGTCAAGAACATCAAATTTTACTATTATTGAGGTCGTAAAAAGATTAAATAACACACACAAACATGTACACATAATAATTGGTTATTCAACTACTACGTGGCTACAGACAGATACACACTGCATGGTTGACATGTCCGGAGTGCAGTTTGGTTGGAAGGAGTGTTGACCTTTGCATGTTATTACAGTTGTAGATTGAACATAGTGTAGAAATAATCCATTTGATTTCAAACTAATTTGGTTGTTTGGAACGTCTCTTGGGGCTTTCTTTGAGGCTTTGTAGATTTCATATTCCTTCACGACATCCATATAGCGGCCTTTGTTACAGTAATGCTGAGGTTTCATGTTGGTGTTGATATCGGAAAAATTACGATTGGTATTAATAAGATGTGCTGTGAAATATGATTTTGTATTGTTATGGTTCTTGCTGCAGGGTTCCCGTATAGACAAAGTATACAAGTCACAAGACAAAATTAAGTTTAATTAACCTCTTATTCATATGTGGTGACTTGAAACTACACCAAAATGAAAAGAAAACAACAATAACAAACTGCATTGAGATAGATCAAATATTAACCTTAAAACCTTAAAAGTTAAACACAGAGGCACCAGTTTATTTAGGAGTGGATAACCTATTATTTTTAATACTTTACTTACTGGGAGAGCGAGCTGGTCTAGTGGTTAGAGCACGGGACTTCGGATCCTGGGGTCCCGGGTTCAAACCCCGCCAAATCACCAATGGATTTTATCTAAGTGATATTGCCGTAACCCCTAGGTCTAGCCTGAAGTAATGTTAAAAACAATTCAGGGCTCGTGCCCAGCGTCTTAGAAAAAAAAAAAAAATACTTTACTTAAATAAATTTATTTGAAAAGGGTTACCTACCTAAAAAATATATATTTCAAAAGAAATAAAAATTTAAGATATAAGAATGTTCAAAAATCTCTGCACAGGCTTAACATGGCCATGGGTAAAACAGTTTAGGCCTACAGCATAAGAGTAGAAGCATTGTCGCCCCCAAATATTTTGTCAGGTAGGAATACTTTAATTTTCATCAGTTTACAATATAATTTTTAATTTGGATTACTGAGGAGTTTTTGACAGTAAAATATTTGTTTAAGGATTACCTACTTCAAAAATAAAAAAGCATTTTAACTACCAAGTAGATAACCTATTTGCTTATGCAGTTTAAGTTAATACAGAGGCTATTACTTACGGTGACATCTTCAATGGTCATCTCGGAGACTTTGTCGTCGAGACCGGACGATGTAGGGTCCATGCCGTGAGTATCCACCCAACCTCCATCCGCATCCTCTGTCTCAATGAGACGTTCCTGTTCATCACAGTACTCCATCTGTTAACCAGCAGTTAGGTTAGGTTCAATCGTTGAAGTATGCTTAGGCTACACAATACAGGAAAAGGAATGGACAGAAATTTTTCCAATGCCCTTTATGTTATCAAATAGAAAATGCTACACAATACAAAAGGACACAACATGTGGCAAAACAACACACCACGCCACAACAATTGTAGAATCTGGTGAATCCTCAAAAGAGCATTCTATTGAAATTTGTATCGTGTCTCTTCCTCTAGCACTAGGCTAAACAAGGTAGGATAGGACACGGAAAAGAACTTTCTGGTTAGATGCAATGCATGCTCAGTCGGAAATTGTTACTGGCTGTTTCCTTTCCCATGTCCCATCTCTTGTAGAACAAGCGCCACAATTAGTTAGTATTGTTCCCTTTCATTCCCTGTCTAGTGTAGCCAAACCTTTACAAGTGGGCGTTCCATAAACACAGATCAGCTGTGTAGCTATTTTTTATTGAAAAAAATTGTTGAATCAAGGCAACACTAAATAAACAGCCGTAACGCTCCTCAGGCATGATGTCACCATAGGTGAAGTTATATTTTTGTTTTCCAAGTAAAGATTAAAACAAGCAGCTGATCACAAATGGCAAACATTACGTAATTGCCGTCGCCTATGATGGTGTCATGCCAGAGGAGCATTACGGCCTGTTTATTTAGCGTTGCCTTAGTTGAATGAACCACTGGCAGAGAGGGCCACTCTCAAAAATCCTATTGTTGTTTAGTATAGTTTAGTATTTCTATTGTTGTTTAGTATTTATTTTATTTGTTAGTTGTTGTGATATAAAATATACTATAGTTGACAATAAGTTAGGGCCCTTTCACACAAGGCCACTGGTGTCTGCCACTACAGTAGTTGCTGCCACCGGTTACCGGCTGGGAAACTACAATTTATGGTACAGGAAACTGACAAGCCACTCCATTATTAGCATTGGAACAACTAGTTGAGAAAATGCTTATGAGCAATGTACATCCCCTTCTTCTCGCGTTATTAATCAAGAAAAGAAGGCGAAGACGGCAGCTTGCCATGTTCATAACATTCCTCCAGGAAGGACATTTGCCTTTATTACACATTATTACACATTGCCCAGGGACGAGTTACGCCACTGCGGTTGCCCCCTAGGAGTTGTGCCAGGAGACACTGTTTGGCCACTGTGTCCTGGCGGGCAACTGCAGTGGCCGCATCAGAAGACCCCTATTTAAAACAATGTTAAGCTGTGGCCGGTAATCAGTGGCCTCGTGTGAAAGGGCCCTTAAGCTTGGTCAAAAAGTTGGCAAAAAGTTGGTCAGCATGTTGGACGAAAAAAAGAATTCACATCAGCGTACTATGCTGGATTTATTCAACTAGGTACAAGGCTGATAAAGACAAGCTTAACAAATTTTCTTGTGTGTTTAATAAAAATAATATATAATTAAAACACTCCACTTCATAGTAAAGGCAAAATGTCTGACAGTCATCTACAACTGACAACGCGGTTGACACTGAAAACCGCCACCATAGATTCTAATGACACCGGCCGCAAAAACCTACGCATTAAGACTTAACAATATTGTTTCCATCTGCAAAGATTATTTTGATTTTGATACATACCAGAAATGAATAATATAGGCTAATAAATAAGATAAGGGTAATGATATTAGAATACAAAATCTTAAAGTAATGAATAGCCTACCGGTACATCTGCCCTTGTTTTTTAAGGTTTGACTAAATTACACCATAGACAAATAGAATAAATATACTGTCAGCTGTGCTGCGTTTAGCATAAGTTCTGGCGCGAACCGCTAGGATTGTCATGTTATTACGGCGTACACCGCTGCAGCGTCTGCTGATAGCATACGGTGAGGAGCCGACGACGGCAGCGAATCGATAAACAAACGACACATCGCGGAACCTTCCTTTGACAGTCTATATTTTATTCTATTTGTCTATGATTACACATAGAAGAAACACTGATTACACCATTGGTCGATTACAAATCAGTCCCAAATTATCGAAGAAATTATACAAAGGGAATCCTCTGAGATTATATAACTTTCAAAGGGGATACTCTGAGATTATATAACTTTCTCTAAACGTATGTCTAAGGAACTCATGTAAACTTATGAAGAAGAAACCAGAGATTTTAATCTACACACCGGTAAATAGTTATTAGTGTAGAATGAGTAGTGCAGGTTTGTTACTTACAAACATTCTGCAAATTATGAATATAAAATAATTTGTTGCTTGCAAGAAGAAGAGGTGGAAGTAAGTCAATGTAACTACGCCCCCTCGTTTTGCAAAGCGACAAATTAATTAAAATCCTAACGAGTGGCATCTAGATGTAGCTTTCATGCTCGTAGCAGTAGTCAAACCTAAGGATATAACTGTGTTATAATAAGGTAATAAATTAAAATTAATTTGAAATTTTGCTATACAGGGTGATTGATATAAGTGTGCCAGCCGTTTTATTTGAAAACTATAAGAGATATCAAAAAAAGGTAATTGGTAATTGGATTTTTTATTTTAAAAATTATAGTCAAGTCAAAAAAATTATTTTAGCCATTTTTCCAATATGGTCGCCAACTTTGATTTTTCTTATGGAACACCCTGTATTTCATGATGTATTCTGGTAGAAAATGTAATTTTAAGACTATTTTATTCTTGTAATTTTTTTCATAAACCTAACCGTTTCAAAGATAATAATGGTTAAAGTTTCGAAATTTTGAATGGTTTTCGAACAAAACAGCTGGCATGCTTGCTTAGGCCTTTATCGAAACTCTTTCTCATGCAGAAATTTCAAAACTTTAACCATCTCATTAATACCTTGAGAGTCATCCTTGAACAGACTACTGAGTATCAAGCAACATTATATTTGACATTCATCGATTTTGAAAAAGCGTTTGACTCCGTGAACCATCAAGTCCTGTGGCAGGTTGTTGAAAACTTTGGAATCCCACCCAAACTTGTGAATATTATGAAGAACATTTACCAGGGGTACTCTTGTAGTGTACTGCACCGTGGGAAAGTGTCTGAATCAATTCAGATGACCTCTGGTGTAAGACAGGGATGCATCTTGTCGCCAATATTATTTCTGGTGGTACTTGACCGTGTCCTGAGGAGGGTGACTACAGCTAGGAGAAGAGGCATTCAGTGGGGACTTGTCGAACATCTGGAAGACTTGGATTTTGCAGACGACATATGTTTGCTCTCTCATCGTTTAAATGACATGAGGAGTAAATTGAAAGATCTCAAAGATGTGGCAGAAAGAGCTGGTCTGCAAATAAATGCAAGTAAAACTAAAGAGATGAGGGTGAATGGCCAATTGGAGGATAGATTGGAGGTAGGTGGCTCGAGGGTAGATCAAGTAGAGTCTTTTGTCTACTTAGGAAGTGTTGTAGCAGCAGATGGAGGAGGAGCTGGAGATGATGTTAAACTAAGAATAAGGAAAGCAAACGCAGCTTTCGTCCAACTAAAACCTGTTTGGAAAAGTAGAAACATCTCACTCCACACCAAAATTAGAATATTTAACACTAATGTTAAAGCGGTCCTGCTTTATGCTTGTGAAACATGGAAAGTAGACAACAAAATTACCTCTCAACTGCAAGTGTTTATAAATAGATGCTTGAGAAAGATAAACCGGATATGGTGGCCTGACAGAATATCAAACGAAGAACTTTGGAGACGAAGTGGCCAAATGCCAATCCATATAGAAATTAGAAGAAGAAAATGGAACTGGATTGGGCATACCTTAAGGAAACCAGATGGCGCAATAGAGAAGAAGGCCCTAACATGGAACCCTCAAGGAGCAAGGCGTAGAGGTCGGCCAAGAAACACTTGGAGGAGAACAGTTGAAAAGGAGGCAGCTACAGAGGGAAAGACCTGGGGGGAGCTCAGAAGACTGGCGGGAGAAAGACAGGCCTGGAGACGTCTCGTGGAGGCCCTATGTTCCGATCGGAACGACAGGAATTAAGTCAAGTAAGTAAGTCATCTTTAAAACGGTTAGGTTTATGAAAAAAATTACAAGAATAATATCGTCTTAAAATTACTTTTTCTACCAGAATACATCATAAAATACAGGGTGTTCTATAAGACAAATCAAAGTTGGCGGCCATATTGGAAAAATGGCGGCTAAAATAAATTTTTTGACTTGACTACAATTTTTTAAATAAAAAATCCAAGGCACTTACCATTTAACTTTTTTTGATATCTCTTATAGTTTTCGAATAAAACGGCTGGCACACTTATATCAATCACCCTGTATAGGATGCAGCTATTATTAATACTAGACCTACAATAAATGTTTTACAAACCTGTTTGCATCGTCGGGTGCACGGCACATTCCTAGTGATTAGGAATTGTTTGTTCTTGGGCAGATATGGCTTTGTCTTAGCCTCGTCTCCGCTCGCCCACTGCCACGTGGGACAGTGATGTACCAAGTGATCTCCTGCCGCTACAAACTCCTCGGGCGTGATCACTCCTGTCTCTCGGAACTTTGATTCCTGCAGAATACAAGATGTTTACAATTAGAGCCATTTTATGGACATGGAAGGCGTTAGTAACCAAAAACATTCAAACCAGAAGGTGCAGTATGGTATTGTAAAAAACTGAATGAAAGCTATACTTATAACCTAGGCTGTAAAATATTCCGACCTAAGGCTTTTGCCTACAATAATTTTGTAAGTATAAACATAACATGAAACGTCAGAATCAATTAGGAGCTCAGCTTATAGCTAAAATAAAACCATAGACAAATTTCCAATATTGCAGAATAATGGTGTTGAAATGAACACCAATCCTTGCCTTGAATAAACTGTTTCTTATTTATACAGGTTCACTTTTTAACTGTGTATATTTTCATGAACTTTAATTATGTATTGTGTATTATGATGTGTCGGCACAACTTTCTCATAGTTAACAGAAACCTTTCATAGATAAAACTGATTTTCGGTTCTTGATACCAGTACCATTGTTACCTAACTAAGAAGTAGGCCTACTGTGATTTACTCATTCTTTGAAAAATACTGTTAAGCTGTGTCTACATAAAGCCAGTTGGCAGGCAAAGTTACATGCCTCCAAGGTAACTTGAAACACTAGAGGCAGGTAATCCTAATGGCTTCCTATCAGCAGTCTTCTCTAAAGCCGCATTCATACGAGGCCAGTAGAGCAGGCAGGTTACTTGGCTTTAATGTATTTACAGAAAGTAAATAAAAGATACGTCTTATAACACTTAAAACAAATGTTTACGCTTTTGTCCTTAGATAAAATCCATTGGTGATTTGGCAGGATTTGAACCTGGGACCCCAGGAACCAAAGTCCCGCGCTCTAACCACTAGACCAACTTGCTTCCTGCAGTTTGAATATTAAATTGCTAAAAGTTTACAGCGAACGTCACTGAAATAAGACTTTTACGTCTGTGCTGCTCATTTCTATTTTTAAAGCTATTAAGTTAACCTCATTTGTTTAGTGGTCAACTGGTCGATCAAAACCATCATTGACAAAAAAAATTAAGATAGCTCTGGGGGAAGAATTTTTATTTGTATCACCCTATGCACTTCACCAGCTTGTGTGGCGTCTTCAGAGGTTTTCTTAAGTTATTTTCTTATCACTAAAACACTTTAGTCCATACGGTTAAGACTAGGCAATGTATTCGAGGACTAAACTTTAACTTATACATGGTGGGCCTAAAGCGATATTCTCAGGCAAATGCTACAGACACACAACTCACCTACGGTAGGACCTAAGTTAGTATAACCTACTTCAAAAGAGAATTGGGGTACACTTCCATATCTGTTGGCACAAACAACCGCATGAAAGTATTGATCGATATATCGTCTGGTTAACTTAGTTGGGTAAGGTAAACCTAACCAAACGATACATCAAATTAAACAATCGAATAATCAATATTATTCATTCGGCTGTTTGTGGAACAGATATGGAAGTGTAGGCTACCTGAGAATTGTTCCAAGGTGATTTAAGTTATTCATATGCCTACTAAAAGAACAGGGAGAGAATCACAAGACCATGGGTGCAAAACTAGGCCTAGTTGGCAACATTCTTAGTGTCTAAGATACCAGTCTGTTTCCTCATCACTGCTCTTGTATAAATATGTATGTCGTTATTTACAACTCTGGTGGCTAAACTGCAGACCTCATTAGATTCATAAGTTGCACCTAGGGCATAGCCTAGAGGCATCTTATGAGGCATATCATAGGCCTACAGATAACCTAATTCCAAAAAGACCAGCGTACGCTGTAGGTCAGCCTAGCATACATACAATAAGTAAGAAAACATAGGGATAGGGCCTAGGCTAGGCCCATCTTTTGATATTTATCAATAAGGCAATTTACAAAGAGGCCTATCTTTAACAAAAAGGCAATTTACAAATAAGCCTATCTTTATCAAAAAGGCCTATATTTGATACTTGTTATTCTTATGCAACCATGCTTGGGTATGTTGTCCTAAGACCTAAATTAGGCCTAATCACCTTCAAAACAGGTGTCAAATATTCTGCAACTCCCAGAGCAGTCCCTTTCACAGTGTTGATTACGCTCTGCATGATTTACGCGTTTCTGAAATCAACATAACAATAAATAATACAAACTTATAACTAGCTGTGTTGTTGATCTTCTGCTGGAACTAAAGAAATATAAAGTAGGTACTCTACTGTTTGATAAACGTCAGACTGAGACTAGACAAACGAAAACTTAAAACTGGGAAGAACAAGAAAATCGTCTGTTCCTGTTTCTGGCGTTTCTGACTTCTCGACTTCTGTCTTCTCTTCTCTTCAGTGTTGCCACATAACTTCGGAAGAAATCCATCCTCACAAGCATAAAAATCCCGCTTTTCCCTCTCTAATCCGCGCACAATACGTAAAAAAACACGTGCACAATCCGCGCACTCTGTAAATTAACCTGAGTCTAAATGTAGTGCTAGAAAAAAAGTTTTCCATTAATTTTTTCACCTATAACGAAATGTAACAATCAAATATTTGACAGGATGTTTACCGTGTATGTGTGCTTTCAATATTGATTGAACAGATACAAAAAATATTCAGTGAACAAAAATAATAATGCTAAGTTATTGCATAATACGAAAATTTAAAAATTACGTATTCAATTAAACTAATCTTATTGTTCTGAACAAACGTTACCTATAGCAGTTAAAAGTTTTTAAAATCAATAAAATGCATTATTATATCTCCTAAACTATGGAGTTAAAGGTATCAATAAATTAAAACATGAGTTGTTGGTTTTCTTTTATTTGTGAACTATACGAACAAACGAAATTGGAAAACAATGTACACAAAACCACAAATAAAAATATTACTTTTTTTCAAACTAGCCTTAGCCTGATGGACGATGTTACCTTTGAGAATGAAAGTGCATTATTGTATGTCAATTATTCTTTTCAAAACTAACCTAATACATTAAAAATTGTAATAGTATCGAATATAAAGTTGGTTAGTTTGTTTTGTTTCTGTTGGTTGGTACTTTGTTTTGTTTGCCTGTTTGGTTAGGTTTGGTTTTAGTAGTGTTGCCACATACCAACGTCTAGAGGAAAATCACTAGAACGGGTGGTAAAATATCCCTAGAAAACGTAACTCTCTACAAGTGACAGCCTGTACAGGGTGAATAAAAAGTCAAGACCCCCCCTTTAATATTTTTCCAAGTAAATATACAGAGATATCCTTTTAGTGGTCGAGCAATCTTAGCAGGAAGTTTCATTTTATCATTTTGAAATTTTTGAGTGTCCCCCAAAAGGGGGGATTTGGGGGGCAACTAAAATATTTTAAATGTAAACCCCTTCAAGTGACACATCATTTTGAAGTGTTTACAAAAACTTAAAGAATGGTGAAAACTAGAGGTCACTATCTCTTCTCTATCCAAAATGGTAGCCCGTCAAATGTTGTGGAAAATCAATGGTAAAATTGTTAATATTGGTTGTCGTTTTGGATAAAGAAGAGATAGCGAGCTCTGGTTTTCACCATTCTTTAAGTTTGTTGCACTTCAAAATGAGGTGTCACTTGATAGGGGTTTCTATTGAAACATTTTTAGTTGTCTCCCGAATCCCCCTTTTGGGGGACACTCAAAAATTTTAAATGTAATTAAACAAAACACATCCGTAATTACGCGCAAAACGGCAACACTGCTTCTCTTCTGTCGGGTCTGACTTAGGGGAGGTACGATTGAGGCATTAGTTCAAAATTCCTCCTTGAACAGCGCTGTAGTAGAGAGCTCTTTGGCAATGAAGGTTTACTAATCGCAAAAATAGTTCTGTTCATAAAATAAAATTATAAATGCCTCAAATTCAATTTTATTATTTTTAATTATAAAATTAAACTATCATAACCTAACCGAACTAACCAAACTTGCTGATAATGAAATAATATAACAACAGTTTAGTAATAGAAAAAATAATTCTGTTTATTAAATAAAACTAGAAATTGCTCAATTAAAATTTTATAATGACTTAATAATAAAATTAAAATGTCATAACCGAACCAAACCAACCAAACTTGCTGATAATGAAAAAAATCTTGGACAAAAATGTAGTGCTCTCAGCGGGAATTCGAACCCGGGACCTTCAGCATAACAGACCGGCATGCTAACCACTTGCCCACCGAGGCCGATGGCAATAGACCGTATTGTTACGGTAATGGCGTTCCCTCAGCTAATAAGAAGCCCACAGCTGTCATCGTAGCCTCTTCTATACCTCCCCTGAGTAAGTACTTCTTCTGTCTCTGTCAAGTCTGTCTTCTTTTTCTGGTTCTCGGTCTCTTGTTGTTAGCGTTTCGTTTCGACTCACTCCACTCCGCTTGATTTTCTTAATGTATTTTTTTTCTCTGGTTTGCTTAGCTTAGCAGGCTTCGGTTTAAAAGACCAGGGGCCCATTTCATAATAAAGTACAAACTAATATTATTAGTAAATCAGCTGATCGCCCAATGCAAATCTAATGGAAATTACAAGTTACAAGTTGTAACTTGTAACTTGTAGTATATTATGAAATGGGCCCCAGGCAGCATCGATGTACACTGAGTTGTGGTTGCTTCCAATTCATCCTGCAATTAAGGTTATTTGTTAGTTTACAAAAATTTGTTATTGAACATAAATGTGCACAATCAATGTTTCATGTTGATATTGTTCTATTCTCCATGTATTTATTTGAACATTCAATTCACAGCAAACAGTCCCAGTAGATCCGATCCAATCCACGTACACTTTAGTGATTGATTTTAAGTCAATGGACTGACCTTCACACGACACTATAGTTGGTGAACATTAACTACGTATATCACAGGCAATAGACCATGACATCTATAATTATTAATAATTGGTTATATTATATAGTCTGGGCTTATATTAATTCTTGAATATACCAGGGCCGCGTATATAAAATTAGCCCAGTGGGCCCGGACCCGGGGACGAAAAAGGTTTTTGGTTTATTGGAGGAGCAAGGAAGCAAAAGATTCCCCCACATTGAAGGTGGAGATGAGCGCAATTAGCTCTCGGGTCCATAGCACATGCACATGCAAAAGCCGTGGCCCTGGAGAATGGAGCTTTGTTTTAATGTTTGTTTCATGCTGGGGAGGGCTACGTTTGAGTGTGCTTTGCAGATTTGTCACACTCCTTCCCGAAGAAATGAAATGTCAATAAAATTCATCCTAGTAAAAGATTCAATAAAATTGTATACAGCATTTTAGACATATTCCATTCCCATATTAAACTTGTTGCCCGTTTTCTAACCAAAATCATCGTAGTTGATGTGAGCCACTAACAGATTGCGCTGATCTAAATTATTGATTTATGTCGAATAAACAAGCTTTTTTATGAACTCAAACTATTAATGGAATGACTTATTGTGAGCTATGGCTATAGCAACTGCTATGACACATCAACTTGGCCAGCAACAAAAATAATGTAGACAATTGAGTTTTAGCATTGACTATACCATAAAAGTTGAAAACCTTTCTCAAAGGAAGGAAACAGATCGTTGAGATACCAGCTGATGATGGTGGTGGATGTGTGAGGCACTTCATGTCCTCCGTGGCTCCAGTCATAATGGGGTGCCTCAAGGGTCTGGCCTCGGTCCGATTCTGTTCCTCCGGTTTATCAACGACCTCCCCTCAAGCACAAACGCCAAGGTCTGCTTGTTTTCAGACGACACCTCTTTGACACTATCTAGTCCTACTTCAGCTAAACTTGAACAAAGAACCTTCATCGAAGCCACCAAACTCATTTAGTGGTTTAACGGCAACAGGTTAAATAAATACACCGAAAGCCCAGTTTCTAAATTAACGTATCTCAAACCGATCCATCAAAGATGTTCTTCTGTGTACTGATGTTCTTCTTTCAGCCTACTAAGGGTTGTTATATCCTTTTCTTTCATATGTTCTGCTGATCAGGGGTGCTGAAAATCCAAGAAAACTTCTTGTTTGGGCTTCAGAAGAACGCAGTGAGAACCATTTTCTCTCTCCCACGTCACCATTCTTGCAAGGAGGTCATCAGCTCATCTGGAATTTTTACCTTTCCCTCCACCTTTACATCCTTAAGACGCTGTAATTTGCCAGGCAAAACTTTTCCAAGTTTCATGTCGACTCTCATTCCTGCATTTATCTCTTGCACTCTACAATCAACTGTAAAATTCAAAAACACTCCACTTATTTTTTTAAACATCACCTCTACAACGGAATTAAACTTTTCAACAATCTACCCATCGATCTTAAGTTAGAGAAAGACCACCTTACTTAGATTCAAGAGGAAACTTAAGTCCATGTTGCTTTTGAGATGTTACTACAGCGTCCGTGAGTTTCTGGCTGGTGATTAAAGATTGTTTTCCTTTTAATTTTATTATTGTATAATAAGGGTATACATTTTAAGTTGGTGAGTTGTATTCAGTGTATTTACGTAGCTAATGCAAATTGTATTTGTTAATTTGGCCAATAAATGACTTTTTGACTTATGGTGGAATAAACTTGAATTAGTTTGCGAACCCAGTATGATCGGACCATGGGTACGGGGTTTTACGAGGGGCTTTATGGGGTAAAAATAGTGTATTCCCATTTTTACCCTCAAAACAAAAAAATCACAATTTCTCTCTACCTTTTAAAAGAGATTCAAAAAAATAATTTAGTATTTGCGTGTTTTTGTGCGGTTATTGGTTACGGAACAAATTCAAAAAAATTGTATGTTATATTCTTTGTAAAATGTTGTAGTTTGCTTGTTTTATGGATATATTTTGATAACACTTGGAAAATTGATTTATCTTATACTAAACTATTAATATTTTATTAAAAAACACACTTTGTGTGAGGAAATAATTAATTAGTTTCCTTGTAAGAGCAAACTTAGTTACTCGTTAAACCTAATGTTATTTAAATTTAATTGAAAATCAATTCAGACTAATAAAAATTCGCTGAGTCAGCAGGTTTGCTGTGGTGGGGGTATTCTTATCCTTTCCAGAGAAATTGTGTTGTTAAGTGTACCGATTTTGTTGTAAAAAGGCAACAAATCAATACAGGGTAACGCGAAGAACAGTCAGCTGGTTTAAACAATAGATCAGTATAGACCAGAATGCACCACGCACTAAAGTAGGAGGGGGAATAAGGTCTAGCCGGATGGTCACTTGCTTCCAGCAGTACCAGTTCATATCCAAATCTCATCGTAGCTAGTTCGGTAAAATTGTTTTTCGTTCGTGGAAATTAAATTCATTTCGCGGCGTTTGGTCGGGCAAT